CCCCCCCCCACATTTGAGTAGATGGTACGAATCATTTTTTGTTTGAAAGCTGTACAGTAACTTTGGATTATATGTAACTGTGCCGTCATTCTTGATATGCAGTCCTAGTTAAACGTCTTGCTTTTGAGGCAGATTATCAGGATTAGCTTATATGAGAAAGGAATAAGTGTTCTTCATGCCAAGTAGAATCCAAATTGCCCACAAATTAATGGAGACGATAGAGTACTCTGGGTGCAGTGGATTAGTGGCCGATAGATCAGATTAATTTAAATCACAACTTGAGTAGTCCAGGGGTAGGGATTAGTGGCTGATACATCCTTAGTTCAGGAGATAAGTGGCTGATGCAACAGATTAACAATGACAAGTTGAGTAGTAAAGCAAGGGATTAGTGGCTCATGCACCGGAATGTTTGATATGACAATTTGATTATTTCAGGGGATTAGTGGCCTATATAACAGAATAATTGAAACAACTTAATACATGGACGTTCTATTATGTGGTCTTCAATGTTGAGAAAACATTTTTAGCAAAAAATTAAATAAAAAAAGATTGTTGTGGTAAATAGTTATTTTATTTTTAGTTCATACCTTGCCCATCATGTTATTAATATTTAGTGATTATCCTTGTGTAATCACCAGGAGGTCTTTTTAGTGATCATCAGTATGTGTACATCATTTGGTAGTGATCATTGTGTGATCACCATTATGACATCTTTTGTGTGATCAGTAGCATATGAACATCATTAGGTACATCCTTGTGTGATCACCAAATCTTTTTTGTTATCAGCATATGAACATTGTTGTGTGATCACCATTATAAGATCTTTTGTGTGATCATCAGTATGTGAACATCATTAAGTGATCATCCTTTTGTGATCACTATTAGGATATGTTGTTGTGTGATCAACTGCATGTGAACATGTTGGGTGATAATTCTTGTGCAATCACCATTATGAGGTCTTTTGTGTGATCATCAGTATGTGAACATCATTAGGTGTGATGACCATTAGAAGATCTTGTTGTGCGATCATCAACAAAAAATAAGATAGCTCTTCAATTCCATAAAAAAGTTGGTTTCGTTTCATCCCCTTTTAGACACAGTATTCAGGAAGGGTGCTATAAATAGAAAATGTATTTGAAAAGAAGAAAAGAGTTCATGAAGAAAGCTTTAAACCTTCACTTGATAATGAATGTCAAACTGAAATCTGTTTTTTAAAATTATCTAATATCCTCTGTCAGTTTTAGAGGGCAAGACCATTTTGCATTATAGGGAGGAGTGATTCACCAGCCATAGAAATCTGCGTATTTTATTTTAAATGAAATCTAGTTGTCCAATTTTGTGTGATTTAATAGTGGTTTTTTTTTTTTTCAATAGATCATAGATGAACACTTGATTTCTTTACAAAATGTCGTACATCATACATTCTATACTCATGGTCTAAATTTTAATTTTTTTTCAATGAAACAGATTTTTTTATTCTAAAAGTAGTGGAAGGTGCTGCAAGAATTTATCTTGCATAGAGGTGTTTTTTTTTCTCAGTTTTGTTTTTAATATAAGATGAAGATTATATATATATATATGTTTTGTACATAAATTTCTTGCATATATATAGAAAAGGAATTATATTATTTGTCTCCCTGTGATTAAGATCCTCATAATTTGTTTATAAAGTTTGCTGCTATTATTAGCTGTCTGCTGCCTTGCTTTTTAAATTTATTGAAAACCATCCCCATTAAAATGAAATAAAGAATTATGGTTTACATTAGAACATATTTAAGAGCCAACCAGTATTGTCTCTATTTCACACAATTGATCATAAATATATATTTTTAATGTTTTTAAAATTAATTTTTGCCCATTCATTTCCAATCAGGGGTTAGAGATTAATTTCTCCATTACTCATCAATATGTATTCTTTGTGTTGTTTTTCTTGCCTTTATTTGTGATGTTTTAAAGGGCTTCTATTTTTAGAATGTCTTTTCCTCATTATTGAATTTAAAATAAAGTCCTTTTTACTACTAGGTTGGCCTTGAACTGTTTTATGAATTTGATATATTTATTGATAAGTATTTTAAGCTTAGATAATAGTTAAAAAAACAAAGAAAAAAAACTTCCTTTGTGTACAAATAACTGTGTAAGAGAAAATACAAAGATGTTGTTACACTTATCTTTGTATTACTATGTCTCCACCCATTTTGTCAGTTGTCTTTGTTTCCATGACTGCCTGTACTTTAGTGTATCTTACTATATAGCTTTGAATATTATTTTTGATACTTTGAAAAAGTAGTAGGAAAAAAAAATCAACATTTTGAGGTTCAAAATATGTTGTTTTCTTTAATAGGTCTTTTTAATACTGAAGCAATCAGCATAGACTCGTGTTTCTAATGTTGTTTTGTATCTGTTTATGACAACCAACATTTGTTGAGATTGTTTGCATCCTGTTGTGAAAATTTAAATCAATTTGCAAGATTTATTCAAAACATTTAAATGATTTGAAATGGTACAGAATTTAACATCAGGGTGTGTTAATTTTTTAATTCTTTTGTATAAAAAAAGTGGATGTACACAAATTAAATTTTGAAAATTATTTAAATTGATAAATGTATTTGTTTTCACAAAACAAAATTACTTGTAAGATATAGAGTATAAAATGAAATAAATTTAGAATATGGATTATTACGCATAATTACGATGTAAAAAACCTCATTGAGATTATTTGACAGAGATACTCTGCCATACATGTGTGTGTGTTTGTAAAACAATTTTAAAATGGTGTTTTTTAGTTTCTTTGAAGAAAAATTTATCTTGGGCAAAAACAAGGACAGTTCGGTGTTGTTTTTTATGATGTTGGGGAATAAGTATGTTTATCTAAAACAGGGTCTCTTGGACTGTTAACTCATGTGATATCTCTGACCCCTCCCCTGTAATTTTTAATCTACCCTCTCTCTTCTATAGCAATGATTGTGAGAGTTTTATATAATCATTTTGGCCAAATGCAAGATAAAAGAAAAAGTTATTACAGTACCAGAATTACTTATATCTGGTTTTTCTAAAAGTATTTCTTTCCTGTACATAGAATACAGGTATCTTAAAAGTTTATATAATACCAGATAAGATTTGATGTTAAAGGGATGTAAATTTGTTGCCTGTTTTTGGGGCAAGTTGTACTTCACAACCATCCGTCAAATTGTTTCTTATGTCTTCTGTACTGAATATGCTTTTCTTATGTTAACATTCAAGAGGACAGTAAGTACTGTACATGGGTTACAGGTTGTGCCCCAAGCCTTTAGGGTATGGAGAGAATTTCAAACTAACTTTGTATTAAATTGAATATTTTTAATGAATTTTCACAACATGGACATAACAAAAGCATGATCTTTTTCTACTTTTCTAAATTATACTGATGAAAGTTTGTTTTAAAATTCTGGCTAAAGTAAAAATTGGTGTTTCAAAAAGATATTTCAATCTTGCAATATTATAGAATATTTATATATTTTACATTATGAAAAGTGAAGTGGGCAACACTAATATTGCTTAAACTAACAGCATTTGTGTGTTATCTGGATCATGAGGAATGAAATTGTATACAGGAATTTTATTATTTAAATTATTGTGCCAGTGATGAAATCTTTATTACCAGTGCCTCTCTTTCAGTTCTAGATATTGTAGATCAAATATTTTTAAAGTGCTTTAACCAAAACAGGATTCAAATCCGGGGAAAAAAAATATAAAAAATTATTTCACAGTTCAAGATAATATGTAATATTAATACTGTCTTGAAGTATTCTGAAAATTCCAAATATCCAAGTTGTGTATTTTTTAATATTTTTTTTATATCAAATAAAATTGCTAGAGATAAACATCTCTTTGTCCTCATTTTTTTTAATGGAGACAATAATTATGTTTCATATTTATATTTAAATATTAAAGAGCTAAAAAACAACAAAAAAACTTCAATACATTTGAAGTTTTTTTAAAATTATGAATGTTTTGTGAGAGGACAGTTAAAAAATAAACATAACACAACATGTAAGACTTGTTTAAAATAATTTCATAGCAGTGAGATCATGTTAGTCTCGTTAAGTCTTTAATGAGTGTGAAAATAAGTTTGTAACAGTTTTTATGAAAAAATTAATATTGACGAAGATTGGGATTAACTTTGCTATTTGAAGAAGTTAAGCTGTTCACACTATGAGGTTTTACATGACAAACATCTCTGATTTGCCATGTATGGGTGTAATGTGACATCATCATACCCTTATATGGATATAATATGACATCATTCATGCCCATATTTGTCATGTAACCTGATAGTATGAACAGACCTTTACATAATTGTGCATACCATAGGATATTTAAATACATAAACTCAGTGTATTGTACAGATAATTGTAATCTTGATTTTTCAATAATTGGATATGCTAATGCATATTTTAATATGCTAATGAGCATAATGTATGCGCAATGAGATTTTTTTTATGTAATATGCTTTATTTCTGTATGATAATTGTCAGTCTTGTTTAGCAAGTTGTTCCAATTTTTTGTGTTGTATGCATCTATTTTCTGTTTGGTTTACTCCAGAGAAAATAAAATTATAATTACATGATGTTACTGAAGTTGTATTCATTCATTTATTGTATTCATTTACATACATAATTTATTCGATTTTATTTATTCAAATTCATTAATCTGAATGAATCATTGAACACATTCAGATTTGACGCGAACCTATGTATGTATCTATCCGTGCCACCGACAATCAACAGGCAGCATGGTGTAGCATCGTCTATTGCTCACACAGGGAGCGAAGTTGAATTGATCATACGGGGCAGCAAGTGCCCTGCATTATACTAGTTTTATATAGCGCACATATCCATCTAATGTAAGATGCTCAGGGCGCTTGATATGTGAACTAGGAACTCGATCAATGACACAATGATGGTGGTTTAGTGGTTATGGTGTTCACCTTGATAGCAAGAGGTCACAGGTTCGATTCCAGTTGGAGGTAATTTATCTCATTATTTATAGAACAATATATTAATTGAGAACTATAGTGTGGGGTGGCAAACAACAAACAGGCATCAATCAGAAGTCGAAAGATTTTTCGACAAAATTCGGTACGGTTGATATAGACGTAATAGTTAGAAGCTGGTAACCCCTTTGATGTATATTCTACATTGGCGATAGTAGTTTTGTTAGCTGTGAGGCAATTTTCGTTACTACATTAGCTGTTGAGCGTTCTGCATTAGCTGGGTTTGATTTTCGTTTTACTACATAAGCTGTTGGTGTTTCTACATTAGCGAGGAATTTTACTACATAGGCTGTGGAGTGTTACATTAACGGTTGTTACTACATTAGCTGTTGTTTTCTACATTAGCGGTTGTAACACGTGTCTATTATGCATTCATGATTGCATTTTCATTATGGTCGGAGAAAAGGTCTTATCTAATGATGCTGAAAACTGGTGGTGTAGTTTAAAACTCGAAAAGAAGCTCTAACTTGAAAACAAGTCCATGGATTCATTGTAAATGAATGTCAAAAGAAACAGGCAAACAATTATGTAAAAAAAAGTACTTGGTTTACAGTTTTTAATGTTAGTTAATTAGCCTATACTATGATGCAGACTATGGTTCTCTTTAATTATTGTGGATGACAGCCATAGCATGTCGGTTATTTTGGTGTAGAACGAGTAAATTCCCACACACGATTATAATCGTAACGGAACTGAGTTTGGTTAACAGGCGTTCATGCATTAGAAGCTGTTTAATTGAGAAATTGTAGGCCTACCTTTTTGCTAGAGTTGCTTGTTTTTAGGAGATTTAAAATTTATAATGTAATTAATATATAATTGCAGATTTACACATGTTTAATATTATAGATAAATCAATTATTTGCTATCTATGGTACGGTAATACGTTGTATCAAAAAACTTTATTATATCATGTAGGGCCTTAAGGCTTATTTATTGCCCAACAGATTGTTTCCGACTTTATGATCATTAGGGCCTATAATTGGAAAAGAAAATGATGCTTTTATTTTTCGTGATTTTTGTTTTATATTATTTAAAAGCGTCTATACGGTTTTAGTACCGTAACCATTTCTATCTTTAATTTGCAATGTAATCTCGAAAAGCCCATCTTGAAAAGAAGAAGCCCATTCAAGGTTGGTACCTAAATAAAGGAGAAGATTATTTGGGATTGTTATTCATTTCAAGCTCCCCTTGTTTTTTTGTTTTAATGATCTTGAAAATTATAATGAATATCAAGTTATAATGAAATATATAGGCGTAACTCATTATAATGACAACGTAAGTACAGAATAGAGTGCAAATGATAGTTTCAGTGCATTTTTTGTTCTATTACAGCGCACACAGTCTATAATTATATAATAACTGTCCGCCTTACAATTCGAGCTAATCCTTGGACCTGAAAATTTGGGTCGGTCTCCATGATTAGTTGTGTGTTTTCTTTATTTGTTTCACCATACACAAAATATCTGACAACGATCAGGTAGCGCTAATTAATCACGTGTTCAAAAAAATAATAATTTGATTTGTGAGGGGCAAAAGTCAAACCATTGGAAAGGGCCATGATTATGATAATGAGGCAAGAGAAGGAATAAGGTCGGAATTGGGATGCTTAAATGAGCAAATAATAGGCTAAGGTCGTCAGTGTAAAGAGAAAAATGGCAATTTTAATTTTTGCTCATTTTTACTGAGCCAGTTATCAATCAGTACAAAATAATGGTTAAAAATAAAAGGGAGATATTTAGGCCTATATATCGTTCTTGTTGCACAGCTCGCATTGAGAGTTTGATTAAAATGGATAGAGATACAATACATTAACGTTAACATTAGGGGAGAGTCTAATACAAATTCTTATCTACATGGTCTAACGACCTAATAAATAAACGTTTCGAGGATTGAAATATATGCGCAATTAAAGACCAAATGTTACATGTAATCTATCTATCTATCTATCTATCTATCTATATATATAAAATACAAAAGGAAAAGTTTTCTTATTCTGTATTTAAAATGTCGAATGATTTATCAGCAAACACGCAGTGCAGAGGAAAGTATAACAATCATCCATGCTTGATTTTATCCAAATTATTTCATCATATTTTATACTGCTTACTGATTGATATTTACCCACACGATTCTAAAACAGGCTTTCTATCATTCGGTCTTTTAAATGTCTCAGTTCATTCGGACCCTGAATTGTAAATTGCATTTTTATCTAGGCCTGGCACTCATACTTTTATTGTGATCTTTTACCAGTATTTATAATGTTTTAATTTCAATTAAATTTTAATGTGTATTTATAATAGTTTTAATTGAATTTTATCTTTATGTACGATAGTCTTTACATTTTAGTGCGATTGATTAAGGCCTACTAATTTTTAATGTGATATACAGTATAGGCCTACCTGTAGGCATATAACATGTTTTAACTCCAATTAAGTTTGATTGTGTATTTTGTTAGATTTAAGTACTGTACTTAATTTAGTTTATTTTTTTCGTTAACAACTTTTTAATGTCTCTTGAGTCAAATTTAACCGTGAGTAAAGAATAACGTTATTATTGATTTACTTCATATACCAAGAGAATCGGACGATAAGTAGGAAATGTGTGTAATTTCAAAAGTATATGGCGCCACCTATATAATAATAACCCCATGCTGATGTTTATTTACCTGATCGGTTGAAACGGCGCGCCACGACAGAAGTAGAACTACAAAATTGGCTGAGCAATCTAAACAGAAGGTTTACGGAATTTGGAAATAGGGCTTCAAACATCTTACAACAGCTAAAAACACGAGTAAGCAGTGTACAATAAAGGGTAAGCATTTATAAACTGTTTTAATAGGTTTGTCATAAACTTTTTGGAGGTAACAACAGTAGAAAAAGCAAGCAATTTTGATGGAGGGTGCACTGTCGGTGGACGCCCTTGCTTAGCCTAGCTAGATAGGTTCGTGTTTATTATTGCAGCGAACGTCACTCGTTCAACATCAGTGCCTGAAACAGTATAGTGAAATTAGCAACAAGTGGCTGCTTTATCCAACTCGTGGGCCGTTGGTTTGATAGGAAGACGGGGGCGTTTAAGGCTTAGTTTTGAGTGCATTTATTGTGGAAAATATACGTTATAAATCTTATATTGTTATTGATTGTATTCACAGTCGCTGAAATGGCTACTACCAACGGTGAAGCCGATGTAGCAGACGGACATAACCCTGAGAGAAATGGAGCAATGTATGACCGTAAGTTGGATAAAATTTTTTAGTTTCTATGCAAAGTAGAGGACATAAAAAAGGAGAGTCAGAAGACTAGGCCTAGTAGTAGCATCAACTATTTATCTTTCTAGTAACATACATGCAAACGTTAGTTTAAATTGAAATGGAAATATTGGTACAATGAAAGAGATCACAATGTACAGTACAGTATTTCCAAACGATCTGAAACTGCATTAAAATAATATAAAATACAGTACATTACCACACATTTGCTTGTAATTAATTTTTACAAAATAACTTTTATCCTGATAATTATTCAGAGTATTCTTGTCTATAAAGAAATGAATGTACTGTAGCAGTGAGGCATCAGGTTAGCAGGCTGGTGCGTAAATTAAGAATGCAGAACTGGAGTTGCAAAAATATTGAGAATGCAGTACTAAATCCCTATTCCAATGAAAACTTGGCAGGCCAGTATTTTAACTCACTTGGTGAACCCAATTGCCAGCTAAGGGCAGTGGGGTACATCTCCACATTCCCCAGCCTACGCTCATGATGCATCGCATTTGTCATGAAATAATGTCATGCATGGTATTTTTTTTTTTTTATTGCTATTGCAATGAAGGCGGGTTGTAGATGCAAAAAAATGTAACTTTTACTCTAAGGATGAAATCCAGTACATTTTTATTATATATCATTAAAAGTAATCTGAAGTATCTTGTGAGTATGATATCATTTTTTTTGGTAACATTTTTGTAAACAGCCACTGATGATCCGTTTGTCCCAGAGCGTCAGTCTGCTGATGATATGGATGAACAGAGGAATAAAAACATTGCGTACCAGTATCTTTGCCATTTAGAAGAAGCTAAAAAGTGAGTTACATTTAATGCATTCTTTGAAAAATTACTTAAATACAGGTATCTCTCCCATTAGAGACTACTTTTGGGACTGGGGTTTCCATGGACTTTAGCAGCTTTGGTTTCTAATTAAAATAATAAAGATAAAAGACATATATTAATATAGGACCACAGAAAAGTGGTCTTTAATTGGATGGTCGTTAATTAGAGGGAGATATTGCTTATTTCATTCATATTTGGATTATTCACACATTTGTCTATTTTATTTATTTTCATTTTTATTATATTTGTCATCAAATATATATTTATATACATATATATATATATATATTTTATATATATATATATATATATATACTGTATTTATATATATATATATTTTTTTTTTTTTTTTTATATTTTTTTTATATTTATATTTTTTTTTTTTTTTTTTTTTTTTTTTTTTAAATTAATTGAAACTCAATATTTAATACCTAAGGCTAGTGGGAGTGAACTATTATTCTGACCTTGGGATCAAAGGCTAAGCATCTTATCCACTAAACCATCTCCACTTCAACATTGATAATATTATTCTCTTAATTGTTACCAGTTACTGGTAGATATGAAGTATTACCAGTTACTGGTAGATATGAATATTAAATATTAATCACTCTTATCCATTTTTCAGTTTCTTCACTACAAAATGAACTGGCCCATTTCTTTAAGATTAGCTCAGACCTAATTTAGAGTATGAAGAATACCATATAAACATAATTGTTTGGTGATTAGTATTCTTGAAAATGATAAAATCTATAGAAATGTTGAGTCTCAAAATTATCAATATCTTTGTCATTGTTTTGAGTTGCTGTGGCTTCGGTTTTTGTTTTATCTAAAGTTATTAGATCCACCAATTCTTTGGCATTAAATTGCAACACAATATTTCTGAAGTATTTAGAAATATATACAAGAATGTGAAAACATTAAACAAGGATTATATCAGAAAACCACTTCTGTCTCACAAAATAGTTTTAAGGTGAAAAATAAAGGTCATGATTATGATACTAAATTTTGGCATAAAGAATTTTAGCAAATATTTAAAATATTATATTTTGATAACAGCCTACATTTCAAGTCCAATATAGAACCAATAAAACAAAAAAGAAAAGAGTTATGATTAAAGACTAAAAGCATCAACAATTATAATTATTATTACTCTTAGTAGTAAACTACAAAATAGTGGGATAGCCACTAGTAAGCTGTGTAAACTAGTGTTCCTCATTAATGTACGCCTACTTATAGGCTCAAGCCTTCAATTAATTCCCTAGGCACATATAATATGGTGGAAATATTGCACTTAGAGAGCATTTTTAATGATCAATGATCATGCATTTTTATAGCTCCTTCCAGAATAAGAATCACCTCAAGGCACCTCTTAGACTACAATAAATTAATTGATGAACATGTGCGAATGCAAAGGGGAGGAAGGTGCACGCCCCCAATTTTTATATGCCTTGGAGTTGACATTCTGGTGGATACAGTATTTTTTTGGAATGTTAATCCAACTGAGGAGGTCCAGACTATTTAACTTTTTTTACTTAAGTAGTTACTATAAACCCTTTTTTTGAAGCAGGACCCAATGCACTAAAGGTATGCCTACAGTAAAAGCTTATTATGGCATAATCATTTGAGTAAATTAGGATTTTCTTAATTTGCTAGTCTGAAATGACAAAATGATAAAATATCATCTATGCTCAATTTATGTTGCCTAAAACATTTACATAACTTAGTTATTCATAGAGATCTAGTTTTTATTGTTTTATAAAATTAAGGCATAGCGCCAGTTATTAAATATTCACTTATTTGATTTGCCTATAATTGGTATTGACTTCCTTTATTTGTTTATACTTCATAGACTTTGATTCAATAGTCAGTTTAATCACTTCTAATACTTTGAAGGATTTTTAGCACAATGACACTTCCTGAAGTACAAATAATACCATCAGTTATTTAATTCAATAGATTATGACAGTAGACATTAACAACAAATTACAGTAGCCTAATAATGTGAGTTTGATATTTAATTAATATTAATTTGGTAATTGTGATAATGTTAATAATATTTATTTGGCATTCAAGATATATCATTTGCCAGGAAAGAGAATAGTAATTAGTCTGAAAAAACAATTTGCACTCTTTACTTACACTACACAAATACCGAGTTTAAACACACAGTACATTACAAACTACAGATTGATAAGAATAATCATTTGATTATTCTTTTTGGATTTTTATTGATATTTGTTTAATGTTTTTTTGTTATTAAATGAGAATCACCCAATGTGAAAGGCTGTTGCTACTTTGAGGTATGGATTAATGTATTAAATGAAACAAATTGAAAATTGCAGTAAATATATTAAACATAAAAAAAAAGAAAATGAAAGGAAATGAAAAGAAAAGAGAAGGGAAGAGGAATAGAAATGAAAAGAAAATGAAAATTAAATAAAGTAGGAGAAAGAACAAATTTATATTTTTGTATTGAACAAAATTAATGGAAAAAAAACGTTTGCCCAGGAATCAGAAGTTTGGTGATAAATCGAAAAGAACGTGGGAGTGGGGATGAAAAAAGTGTAACTAGTAACCATTTGGTATGGTATGAACGCAAGTGCGGAGAGAGCAACAATTAGATGCACAAATTCAAATATGGTTTAGCAAGAGATTTTTTTTTTTTTTGTTTGCCTAGGCCTACAGTAGGCCCTACTGTGTAGGTTTCTTAGGCCTAGAGATTTCAAAAACTGCATTGGTGCCAAGCCAAATCTTAAATTTTACATAACAGATTTGTTTGTACAATATTTATTTTAATAGGCATTGTGGTTCCGTAGGCTAACTGCTGCAGTGCTAGGCTAGGCCAAGTAGGCCTAGCCATACTAGGGTCTAGGCCTACTGTAGTTAGTAGTAGTACTTAGGCTAGGCCTAAAACATCTACCAATTGAAGCGTAGGTCGTAATTACTTGTCTTCATAGTACTTTATTGTCATATTTTAAAAGTTGTTTAATATCTAAAAAGAACCAAATAAAAACATGTACTGTACGCCTACTATACTACCGATTAAATCTTCCGCCATTTCTGTCAACTACTGTAGCACATGTTGGGGAATCAATTTTTTTTTTCTGCAGAAAATAAACACACTTGTAATGTTGGTGGCGCACTCCATGTCTTGTTCCCTGTGCTGAAGATGAAAAAACGATTGTTTTTCCTCTATTATCGGCATTTTTTAGTCAATTTGAATCACTTTTTTTACAAAAAAGAAAAAAAAGAAAAAGAGAGGCGGCTATAAAATCAGGGTTGGCCTAATTGACATGTGGTGGTTAGTAAAGTTTTTCTAGTTTCCAGGGATTAGACCTTATCTCACTATTCCTTGATGCGTGCTACCTGGAAAATATAAATTTTAGGGAAATTCCTGCCGCCATTGACTCATCATTCCCATTATAATGATGTGCATTAGAATTTTGATAATTAACAGGATGCAATTTATTGATGCACTAAAACAGTACCTACCAGGAAAATGTAGACACTAACATAAACTTAGATTTGAACTCCTCCATATGTCTGCATCCTGTTTGGTGTGTTTTAATATCTTTGCAGACTGTGGATCTGTTGATTTAAATTTAAACTCGTCTACATACAAATGGATACACCATCAGACTTTTGTCTCAACCAACAAATATGTTATATTATTTGTTGCAATATGGCTTTCAGCTGTTTTTTATTCAATAATCTGAGCTCTGAAATTGCTGTTCAAAGTATATCCCTACCTATATTTCAGAAATTTGAACTTAATAACCTTGACCTTAATAATCATTGAATAATTACCACCAATTTTACAGTTAAGGGTTGTTCAACATTTTAACAAGTGTACAAACAGTACACTAGGGGTAAATAGCTTTGTAAACTTTTATGAAAATGTTGATTCAAAATAAAATGTAACATTCAAAATAATAGATTTTTATGATCAATTATAATACAACCATGGATATAATAGACATTTTTATGCAACCAAATACCATAGCGTGGGTCGCTAAGCTTAGTAAATCAGCAATGTTTCTAGGTACAGTATACCATGTTTCTGTGCAAAACAGTTTAAGCCGACCGTCGGGTACATAATGATTTTTTAGCTTCGGTTACTGCGGTGCGAGGGTGGTAGATTGTTAATAATAGTTTAATCAGTGATTAGGTGTTGTCTAATAATGCATGTAGGTTTAAGAATGCACTGCGTGGGTCACTTTGTTGGTATACGTAGCAGAGTGGCAACAGCAAGGCTAGGCCTAGCCTAGGGCCTGGACTAGATCGTGAACATTCTTGCTCGTCGCAATGAAAACTTTGGGTGACAGACGATTGGGCCCCACTGGTGTGGACGATCGGGCCCATGCCATTTTTGAATATATTGTAATTTAGTCTCCCTTCCCCGATATCGTTTCAAACTACTGTAAAATGAAGATATATTGTATATCTAGACTTTATAAAAGAAAAAGAAAAAATTTAATTGTAAAGTACCTTGTGGTGTGCTAAAATTATTACTGTAACTTTCCTATCAAGTAACATTACCAATATGGTATAAAAATCACTATTTTGGGCCATAAAAACTGACTCCAACTGAATTGTACAAGTTAAAGTCATGTATCATGCATGGGAACGTTGAAACCTGCAAGGCTCTGGTTATTCTCTCTTGTTTTTGAAACTTAAGTTCTTCTGGGAACTGTTGTGGAAAATTTGTATAATGCTTTGACTCGCTTGACAATGAAGAGAAATTGATTGCATGATTTTTGGTGGGAACTGCTAGTACACCAGTAAAATGCCTTTCACCTATTTGTAAATGAAAGAATGTAGTTAGTTGTGTGAATGGTATAACTGAAAGTTTGCTGAGCTTTAGTAGTGTTACCTACCTCTACTGATGGTATATTATTTCTTGTACTACTGTAGGCAAAGTGATTGAATGTACAGAGAAGATACAAAGTGAAAGAAACACATTATAGACAAACATTTCCTTTGAATTATATCACATAATAGGCCTACTAATTGTAACTTTAGTAACCATAGTAGCAAGTTTACTTCAAATGAATTTTGAAAGACTAAAGGAAATAAAATATAATTTGATTTGTTTACTTTGTATTCTATATGTATGCTTTATAAATAAAATACATTATTATTATTATTATTGTTACTGTTGTTGTTGTTGTTGTTGTTGTTGATTTTTTTAAATAATACAATGATTGTGGTTTTGTATTTAAGTCACTTAAGTTTTTGGGATTTATTTTGGACTTGGAAACAATGAATCCTGAATAAGATTGATATGAATTAATAATAATAATAACAAGAGCACTCAATAGAGAGCATATCTCTGCCCATCGCAGTTCCTTTCTATAAAATAAATCTCCAAAAAATATGTTCCTAATTTATTTCAACTACCACCACCAACCCCACCCAAACTCACTTCACTCCAATCCTTTTCAAACTCGCCCAAACAAAGAAGGGCGCTATATTACCACTTTTTGTCTGGGTTTTGGGGACTCTTTTTGACAGTGGGCATTTTTAGATTTTGTGATCCGAAATGATTTGCCCAGAATTCACTATTGGCCTACTTTTTACTACACATGTTACGTTTTGAACACAGAATCCAAGCAACATATAGTATTAAAACATTTTATTTTCAACTGCTGACACTGTAAAAATGTGATTGCCCACCTACTTTCCAACCACCATCTACTTAAAAAAAAACCACTAACACAGCCAACCGGAAACACCTTTTATTGTATAAGTTGTATAACTGCCAAAATCAGTTGATTAGTTTTAAAATATCCGGTCTGGGACGTTTTTCTTTAAATGGTCCTCATATCCACACTCTACTCCGAGCCGTCACCAAAATTTAATCACCTCGAACTATTACTAGGTTCATACCTAACACTTCCTGTAATTTCTTTTAGATCTGTGCAGCCGTTTTTGAGATATTTTGAGCACAACACACATACAAACACAAAAACACCAAAATGTGACACACAGACACTGAAAACAATATCTCCTGGCAGAGATAATAAATAATATTTAAATTATTTACTTGAAATTGGAAATTGGGGCTGGGAACTTGTGGTAGCCGTGGTGCAGTGCCAGCCAACTTAACTACAACATGTAATGGACAGTCTCTTACATGTTGTAATACATATGGATACTCACATATTCCTTATCGAATGTTATTCAAGGAGCCGAGTGCTCAGACTCAAATAAATTAAAACCTGACGCTGATTGGGTTTATACCAGGGCCTTCAGCACAATAAGCACTAGCAATACCTCTTGACTAACCACTCAGCTCATAATTGGAAATTATACTTCGAATGCTGGAATTGATTATTAATTGAGGCATGTCATGGCGAAATGGTTAAGTTGTCGCGCAGTCCAGTATTGAGTAAATGAGCCACAGTATAAAATTTGAGAGCTCAAAAAATTGCCTAAAAATCCAAGTTTGTTTTTCACTATAGATCAACAGTTTAATGTTTTATTAATCATGTCTCGAAGTATTAGTTCTGGAAGTGGTCAACAAATTGTTTATTTAACGTTATTTTGATAGTTCATTCTATTAAACAATGTATGCACAAATAACTTTGAAAAGCAATTACTCAAAAATCATGTTTATCTTGACTCTTAAGAGTACTGTACTTTTCACCGTCCAATAACTTGGGCTTGAAATGTCCAATGTGAATGAATGACTCCTCATTTTAAAGATCTGAAAATACCAATAACTTAAATTTCAATGTTTGATACAACTTAGCCATTTTGCCACAACATACCTCAATTATCATCTTTATTACAATTTTCATCAGTCTTTCCATGGAGGTTTTAATAAATTACTGTCTTTTCTGTATTAAATCTGTTGTTATACTGTTCATATTGTTGTATTGTTGTATTCTCCCCCCCCCCCCATTTAACGTGTGTGATTTACTTTTTACTTTACAAGATTAGCAATGCTATAGCACCCATTTTTTATCAAGTTAATATAGGTATATAAACAACTTACTATCAATCAATAGATTATTGGAAGTTTGATGTATTCACAGTAAACTGTGAATTTGGAATCCGAATTAGTATATTGGATTGAATAAATTTATTGTTAGAGGTGTAGTAGAATCTTTAATATGAATTGGAAATGGACGTTTTGAAATATTTGTCCCACTAACAGAAAAATGAAAAAAAAAAAAAATGAAAATGATTACTTCTTTTGCTTAATGTATTTCTTATGCATCTGATGTACTTCGTGTTTTGCTTATTATTATGTTTGTCTTGTACTTTTCCATAGGTTATTTTTCAATATTGTTAACCTGCAAAACACATCAAGGACTAGTATTTGCAACCAAATCACAAAACCACATTTTAGTATTACGTCATGTATTAATTTATCAAACTGAAATGTTATGTTAAAATTATTAGTTTTTGAAAGCTTTTATTTATTTTTGCCTAATTCTATGTGTTTCTCACATGTATCTATAATGTTTTCTAGTGTTTTTCTCGTAATATTGTTGTTTGTCTTGTACTTTTTCATGCTGTTAATCAATTTAATTGTTATTAAGAACCGCAAAACACACCAAGGACCAGCATCTGCAACCAAACCACAAAACCAACAGCATAGACATTTTAATGTCTATGTTGACATTTAAAAATGTCTATTTAACATATAATTTCAGTTTAATCAATACATGACAAATTTTGTCATGTATTGATTATGCTAAAATTACATGTTAAAGTTAATTAGTTTTTGAGAGCTTAAATTCATTTTTGCCCTAATTTTATACCATGGTATGAAAATACTCCTTAATACCATGTTTGCATGAATCCCCACCTGTCAATAATCATGATATTCAAATTAAAGAAAGAATTTACAGTATTTTTGATTGTTAGTACACCCGCCGGCCATAAAGAATTAGAAATTTAAAATGGAAAATTAAATGATAATTTTTATTGTAAGAATGAATGTTACTTTTTCATTTTTTATAAGTACATTGAATTATGTATTTTAGGTGGATTGAAGCTTGCATAGATGAAGAAATGCCACCCACAACTGAACTGGAGGAGGGACTTCGCAACGGTGTCTACCTTGCAAAGCTCGGACATTATTACGCTCCAAATAAAGTTCCACTCAAGAGAATATATGACAAGGAACAGAACAAGTACACTGTAAGTTCCATTATATTAAAGTATTTTATCTAATCCAAATGTTCTAAAACTTACCTGCCACAGGATCTAACTGATTATTTCTATCAAAATGTATATATTTTCAATTTGCATTTATAAATTGTGTTTTATAGAAAATAGAAAGTTTGAGATATAAATTATATTAACAAATGGTTCCACTCACAACAGTTTGTCCACATTGTCATGTTTTATGTTGACAAATTTATATGGTATTCCCATATTTGGGCATGATGATGATGTAATATCAAAATTATATGACCAAATTTTTATCTGGTATTTGCCGCAAATGTTTTTATATAATCTAAATGTCCTGAAACTTGACTTCCACAGAATCTAACTGATTATTTCTATCAAAATGTATATATTTTCAATTTACAGTTATAAATTGTGTTTTATAGAATATAGAAAGTTTGAGAAATAAATTATATTAACAAGTGGTTCCACTCACAACAGTCTCTTCACATTGTCAAGATTTATGTTAACAAATTTGTAAGTAGGCAACCACAAACAGCACACCCTGAACTTGTTTGTGTGTGTTGTTATTACCCCTGTAAAATGTGAAAGGTGATGTTTTATTGATTTTGTTTTATGAGGACAATCTTTTTTTGATAAATGAGATATTACACTGAAGAAAAAAATTATCAATGATTCAAACCATCTTAGGATAAATAGAGTGATTCCATCATTCAGTAATCATAACAGAATGGTGGATTGTTGGGACTGAGGTATAACAGGAACAGGTCTGCATCTGCTTACATTATTTGTTTGTAGTAGGCAACTGCACTGGGTATGATGGCAACTGACTTAAATGATGGTAGGCTGCACAAGTTTAAAACTAGTTTCAGTAGATCAAGTCCCCTTCATCAGAGACTTCTTTTTCTGATGAAGGAGGCTTGGTACCTCCTACTAAATCTCATGTTAAGTAAATTGAATCAAAATAGTTTATGGAATGCTGTAACATGTAGGCTTACTGTACATACATGATGTGCAAAAAATACATTCATCCTTCTATGTCCTTTTAAAAATAAACATCATGAATGGGGCATCTAACACCAAAAGCATTTGCAATAGGCACATTCCCCGAGGTTTGTTCACATGACATAGTGGGTATAATTGGAGAACTTACTGTGCGATCAGTGTGAAAATATAGGAAAAGGTAATGTTACGGTGGTGAAAACAACCGCCCACCATTGACATGAGAAATGACTAGCAGGGAAAGGCACTACGATTGTTCAAAATAGTGTTTTATTTATTTATTTTAGTGTTCTTTGTGCTTTTTATGCTTTGGAATTCAGGTGCTCCTTCATAAACCTCAGCTAGCCTGCTATAAAAATTGTAGCATTTCAAAATTGCTGTTTGCAGGTCAAAGAATCTGCATACTGTACATAAAGGGACCGTAGATATGCAGGGGCCTAGGCCTAGCATTTCTTGAAAAATCTCAATGTTATGTGGCCAGTATCTTTTGGAGAATTAGCAAACCACATGGTAAAATCTCATTTTCAATTTGGTACAGTTATTCATTCTGACCCACATTATTCAATGTTCATCAAATGTGTGCTTTACTGCAGAAACACTCTGAAGAAGTTGCGCCTTTTCCTATTACCAAGCGGGACTCACGCTGCTTGTTTCACTTGATACCCACTGTATGTCACATGATCAACCTAGCGAAATGTGTCTATTATACACTGGTCAGATATCGACTTATCACAAAATAAAACTTCTTGCACCTTATATCATGAACAGTCAGGCTTTGAACACCAACTTTAGTGAAGGCTCAGAGGTGAGACAGTGGCTACCCAGCCCAAACAAGTCTATATAATATCTTAACTGCTAAGGAAACAATCCAGTTGTTGTAGATGTGGTATTTTCATGGTCAATCGATTTACAAAATTTCAGTCAAGGTTTCATCCCACTGCCAAAGTTAACTAATCAAAACATGGGCTATAAATAGTAACATGCATTTGACACTATTTGGATTCAACCATTGTGCAATTGGGGATCACAAGATAAATATTTATTAGAACATTTGAACCAAAAATGTTTTGATTCTATTATTGTAGATCAATGTCATAAAATTTTTCAAGGAATTATATTGACGTTGCTATTCCCAAAATCATGTTAAGAAAATTAAAAATATTGAGACTTATCAATCCTCAGGCAGATAGTCAAAGTATTAACATCCTCAACTGTGCAAATACAGGAACTATAGATGTTTTCTTTTGGGATTGTTCACTTAAAAAACAATTAAGGAATGATCAGATTTTGTGACTCACCTCTAGATTATCTTGTGGTATTCGCATAACTGAACAAATTGTTTTTAAACAATGTACATTTGAAAGAAGAATAACAATTACATTGTGGTTCAACTGGTTCCATAGCTCACCTTGTATGTTGGTAAACTTTTCAAGTTTATGTCAAATCAATACTGGAAGTTATGCTAGGATTCAATGTAAGGATAAATAGATCAATCAGTGACCCTGAACTTACTGATCATGTGTATGACGTTTAGTTGTTATAGTGTGATCAGTGTCAAACTAAAAAAAAGACTAAGAAGAAATACTACAGTATGGCTCTAAAAGCCTGCCCCAAAGATTGATAGTGTGAGAAGTAAAGAATTATAATACTAACTCCTAATCTTAAATGGTATATGAAAGGTAATACTGTAATTGTTCAGAATAGTATTTTACTCATTTTGGCTTATGTGCATTTTATGTTATCGAGTCATTTATTAAGGCTTTAAAAGTAAATCTTGATGCAATGGAACTGCAATTAAAAATCACTATCGGATAAAGTGTCTGTGTCAGTTTCTTTCTAAAATGGAAATATAAATTAGTTATTGTGGTCCGATATCTAGCTAGGCTAACAGAAAGTAGACCTAGGATAGGGAGCCTAACACTGATGCCTATTCCATTTAGTTATGATTGATGAGAATTAATTAATAGATTTATGCCTAATTAAATCAATTAATTTATCTCCGTCAATCAAGTTCGTAAAATAGAGTTTATAATTGAGAGGTTCATAATTGGGAGTATGCATGTACTACAGTGTGAGAGCAACTATCCAAAAGCCCATAAAAAAGGATAAGCTCCGAAACCCCCTGGCTAGTATTCTAGCCAGGGGGTATGTAGCGTTATAACACATTGATAGGTTCCAAAAAAATAGTACATTATAAGGTACTGTACAGCTTACATCAACATGGACTGTAAGAATCTATTGTACCTCCGTGCAAGGGGTAACCACTATTAAAAAATTGAAATAAAATCCAAGTTCAATAGAAAACCACAAATGTAGACTGTGAAAAAACAAATCCCAGCTTGGGCTGACAGACAACTGATAGAGGTGAAGAGGTCATACGTAAGGCATGTAAATTTTATGGAAACTGTGCTCGCTGGCTTCTAGAAAGCTGTTATGTGTTGAGGAGGCACCTGCTTGTACACATTCATGTTAAGTAGCAAGGTGGTAACATTTCTGTTGGCACATTTCACCTAGATACCTCCAGAGACCCAACGAAAGATGGGCTGCTTTCCTTTTGAAAACAAAAATTGAAAAGATTTTCTTTTTAAAAGTATAACAAAAGTTTTACACATATCAATTATATTATTTAAAACTTTATGAACCTGTTCATTGCATACTTAATGTTCATTTTACAATGACACTTCATTTCTTTATGATTTATACCATTCTTATGTTTTTTCCAACTGATATTTCCGTGTTTAGAAGTATAATTAGCTGGAAATATGTAAAAAAAAATTCCTTTTTTTCTTATCAGTAATGAGACTAAAGCTCATCACAACATTGTAAATTATTTTCAAGTAGCAACTAGCTGATAGTGAATGATAGTCTAGGTTAGCATTAATGAGACCTAAGTGGGTATGGATGTATATTCATGAATGTTGAAAGTATGTTCACTTGCTGATGAATGTATTTCTTCAAAGCTGACTAAGGATTAGAAAAATTATTTACCAAGTATTGTTTTGAAGTGACACATCTTCATATTACAATCAAGTGTACATTGTCTGCACAGTTGCAAAAGCCCTAACAATGTTTACCAATTGTGCAAGTGTAAATGATGGTGATGATGATGATTTAAGTCAAAATAATTACAATACATCATTACTGTACTTAAGTTGTAAGGATTGAGGTTAGTGATAGTTCAGTTTCTACCTCTCTTAATCATTCACTTTAACAATAGCAACCAGGAACCAGTTGGTGGTAAAAGTGCAATCAGTGGAAAATAGAAAATGGAAATGTGGTAATAATAATAATTATTAACTTTGTGTTTCTACCCATTTGTTTCAAATTAATATAAAGGAACAAAACCTCAGACAATTACATTTTTTTAATGCTGGTATCCCTTAAACAAGATGCTCATGGTCCTTGATGTGTTGACTAGTAGTAGTAGCTCTTAGGCTGTGTTCACACACACACGGCGTAAGACTGGCGTAGCTTACGCCAGGCTTAAGCTAATTCACAGATTAAAATTCCAAAGTGTTCACACAAACGGCGTTCGCTATATTAACGCTGGCGTTAAACTAGTAGTAATATAGGCCTATGGGGGAATAGTTTTAAGTTTTAAATAATGTACGGGTTCTTAACTGTAGTAAAATTAAAAGTGCATCATTAAAACTTTTAAATCTGTGAATTGTTCAAAGTGAACTTATATGATTATTTTATTTTAAATAAACAATTTTACTTTGATTTTTCAGCTGGCATTGTTGGTGTTGCAGGTTTTAATAGACAGTCTAAAATAGGTTAAAATATCTTGCAAAACACAATCAACAAATCATATACATTATAACTAAGTAAAATGCAAAAGAAAAAGAACCCCTTTACCATTTCATTTATAGAGAGCAAAGGAAAGAGACCAAAGCAGCTAATATATTGCAATCGTGATTGGTCAATCTCTTGAAATGAGGTCAAATCATTCAAGCATCACTGGCGTTAGCTCAGTGGCGTTAGCTAATCTGGGGTCTGCAGGTAGC